GGCTTTTTGATTATTCTACCCTGTGTTCATGAAATTCCAGAAAAGAGTAGTTGATTAAATGAAAGCAAATTGAGGAGGAATAAGACAGTATGTATTCCAGGAAATAAAGTCCAAAGTGTTAACTGGATAGAACTCTTCAAGGCTTAATTGTTTAATACGCCTGATTAGCCCATTCTCAAGTTCACCAGCAGTCAACTTCTTCCTAAATGGAAAGCAAAGCTCTTCGAGGCTCATCAGAAACCAGCCTTGCAGTTCTGCCAAGAACTCCAAGAACCTTGATTGGTGACCTCCGATCACAGTCTGTGTACATGTATCAGAAGAAATACTAATGTATTGAGCCAAAATTCTATCCGAAACTTAAGAAACAAATATACCACCAAATGCAAAAGCCATTTAATTTGGAAATCAGACTTCCACTCACTTCATATAGATTGTCACATAAACCAACCAAGTGTAAGAAAGCCAAGTTTCAGAGGTCACATAACAAGAATTGTATTTCTTTTGTATATGTTTAGTGACACAAAAGCACTTTTTTTTTTTTTTACAAAGCTTGAACATGGAAAAACTGTTTTTCTAATAACAGAGAAAAAGTTCTATTCTAGTCACAGATGACGTTTTAATTACGGAATTGGAATTGTTGCACCAGTCAATATCCAATACTGAAGTTTAAAACAGTGCATTTATATTTTTTTTTAAAAAAGAAAACATTAAAGTGCCATTTTATAAGTACTTTATTGATATTATATCACACAGCACTTTACAGTATACTCAAAGGTAGTCTAAATTATTAAACATGCAAACATTTTCTTTTCCAAAATATGGACAAAATGTCATTTAGAGTGCTTTTGAACACTAGCCTAGCATTAGCTACTAAGTGTTTATGGGTTTGATTTTTCTTTTCAAACATGACTTTTAATAAGTTAATAGGAACATAGCTGCAAATAGTAATCATTTGATAAATATGAACAGTCTTAAAATGGCACTTAATTTACATCTTTGATCATTTGGGTAGGCAATCAAGAGCCTTTCTCATTTCGGTAATTCTCAATCTCCAAATCTTGAAGGCTGCAAAGGCTCAGCAAATGCCAGCTCATCTGGGTCTCTGTTAGAGAGTCTTCATCTTTTACATGTGCAGATATGTGTAGTTCTCAAACACATACATATATATACACACACATACGTATATGTATATACGTATGTGTGTGTGTGTATATATATATATATATACACACACACACACACACACACACACATCCCACTTACAATCCTCGCTTTCTTTCTATAGCCTTCCCATTTTCAATATCCCTCACTAGGGGTACATTTGTTAAAAATGATGGACATCCATAGAAATATATAGCAAGTTGCCATCCAAGATAACCATCACAAATTGTTATTGCTGAGGGTTTTCTGAAGTTTAAGTTTAACCTTATTTCTCCAATGAATGAGACACAAAAAGAGAGAGACAGCACCCTCAACAGAGTCTCAATGTTACGACCCACCTCCAACTTCAACCAGCCTTTTAACATGGGCACACTCATGCTTGGTGTATTCAGAAAAGGTCTCTGGTGTGTGTGTGTGTATATATATATATATATATACACACACACACACACACACACACATACCCCTTAGAATCATCCCATGGTATCTTTTCACAGATACAAGGTTGATCTTGGCATATGGATACCCAAGAAAGCTGCTTGTAGGTGTTCATTTGGATGACCTTGTCCAAAGGTTGATGTAGAATGCCCTAGCCTCTCAGGCAGCTCTGACACTGTGGCTATCCGTTCACGGACTATACTAAAGCCAATGTGGACATGGAGCCACTGCCACCCTTGTACAGGTCTAGGACTGTGTTGTCTTTGCTCTCTAAAGCATTCTACCTTGAACGATGTTTCCATTTTGCAATGTCCTGCAGGATTTTTGTAAAAATATTAGTTGTGAAAGTTTTCTGTGATAGGTTTTCTTTGTCCCCCTCTCCATTAAGAACAATATTTATCCTGCTAAGGGGAAAAAAAAAAAATCTGAAGTTCCTCAGTAGGGCTCTCCTTTCCTTCTCTCTGGCCCTGGCAATACTGTGCATCCAATACTTTTCCTCCCAAGAATGCAGGTGCTTCCATTAGAGGAAGCCCTTACATTTCAGCAAGGGCTGGATCTGAATGATACTGGAGATTCTATACGGTCTTTCCCCCTGCTTTGAGGAGCTCTTTAGTTAGACAAGCACTGTAGGCAGTAAAAGGAGAAGAGCTAATTATTACTTGTTAGGGTTTTGTCTCAGGCATGCTGCAGGATTGGGCAAGGTTCACTGCTCCACTGCTGGTGTCACCCTGATGCTACGATTACCAAGAAGTGGCTCAGCACCCAGAAGACCTGCGTGGCTGCCAAATGTTTACATTTCAGCACAAGATAAATGTTTTAAACACTAGCACAGGGTGTGTGAGAGGACACCAAGCTGACTTAAAAGAGATGTGGGACAGGGTTGTCGAGGTAATTGATTGCTGTCAAGTTAGCCAGAGATGGTAGATAACTTCCTAGACAGAATACCAAGGACATTCTTTTAAAGTCAGGTAGCTAAGAGGCTGTTTGGTTTCTTTAGCTCTGGCTATCCACTTGAGTAATGTGGCTGCTCATGAAAGATGCAGTTCTAGGGCCAACTATGGGTGCTGTGGTGGGCACTCTTATCCCTGTGCGTCCCACGTCTATGAACTCAGTGGTCCAGGCCTACCCGTGGTGGTGTGCACTGTTAAGCTGCAGCTGCTCTGTAGGCTGACACCACATGGGAGACCTGGCTTCAGTTCCTAGGCAACCCTAAAACAGCCAGGTGCGGTGGTGCATGCCTACAGTCCCAGCTATTTGGGAGGCTGAGGCAGGAGGACTAAGAGTAAGACTCTGTCTTTAAAACAAAACAAAACACAAAAGCAACTGCGTGATCTAGACTTGCTTTTGCAAGAAGCCAGACAATACAAGGTGCCAATAAACAGACATGAAGATGTGATCAGCTTATCTTCAGTTTCTTCTTCCTCTCTACCCTTCAATCATGGACGCTTTTAAAGCCTCCGCAGGTGAAACCGAGCTTTTAGTATGACTAGTGTTGTGGAGTAGACACAAATTCAGGCGATAGCAAGACTTTCCCTCCAACTACAGGTGTGGCACCCACCTCTGGAGTCCTGGGCAAGTGTCTTATCACTTGCATGGTCTGTCCTGCTTTTGCCAACACCTGACTGATCACTTTCTCTTTGTTTTGCCTCTTCGTTCAAAAAGTACTTGGCAAGAGGAAATGAAGCGAAGTTATATTGAAAAAGACAATTTGGTCTGACATAAGAAAACAAATATTAGCTATAGAAATACTAGAACACTGAGCTAAAAACTGGCTCCAGTTCTGGCATACCAAGAGAGACTGCTCACTCCAGGGTCCATCCCCACATGCTTAACTTTGAAAAACAAGAGAGAATACCATCAGTCTTAAGCAAATCAGGATTTTACTTGCCTGGGGGCAGAGATTTGAAATGAATTATTTTCTCCTGCCATGATACCTTTAGCTATGCAATTCTACGAGTACCTGGAGGAGGAGTGAGAGATGGATCTGAATTCCCCCAAAAGATCTTGTCTACAGTTAATGGAACCAAAGGAAATGTGAGGCTATTGGGGAAGCTCAGGGTTCTAGCCAAAGGGCCCACAGTGATACCCAATCCATTTCCCTAATCTGCTCTGAAGTTCCCTATTCAAGCAGAGAGATTTAGGAATATGGGGCATAGATTGTAAATAAAATGTATGCACATTTTCAGTCTTCAAATTCCTTCCTACTTGTTGGCTTATACTCTGAACAGTTTTCTAGTTCTGTGGCCAGTGGGAGGAGGGGATCCTGGCTGGGTAAAGGGAAACAGAGCAGCCATCTGTCATCAGCCCAGTATGGCCACAGAGAAGCTACAAAGGGAATCTACCTCAAAGATCCCTGTGGTAGCAGCTCCGCTTCACAGGAGCGGGGCACATGCTCTAGGCCAAATGTCTGCAGGTGGACTCCAGTGAGGAAACTCCCAGAGCAAGGCCTGTAGCCTTCTGTTCTCCACATTAGCTCCAGAGAAGGTGACTTGGGAAGGTGACAATTTAAATGTCAAAGGTGTTAAAAGCATGATCTCAGTCTCTTTCTATTGGAAGGCAATGGTATGGCAGTGTACATCCCCTCCGCTCCATTTCTCAGCTTCTTGTTACTAAGTCCACAGGGAGCAGGTCTATCCTATTAGTATATTTTCTTTCCTCTTAGGGTTTCGATGACAGCTTTCCCGAATCCCATCTTGGTTTTGTCCCTTCCTAATACTAGTTCCCCCATTTAACAGAAGTGTCTTGCTTGCTCCTGGGGTGACACTAGGTATATAATCCTTGAGCTGATAAAATAAATAGTGAACCACGAAGACAAACCCTTGTTCACTTTAAACTGGCACATCCCTCTGGAAGTCTTTTTCTTATTTTAGGGTGATAAGAATCAGAAAGTCAAAGAAAAGGGCATAAACATGTTTAGGAAAAGGGGAAGCAGCAAGACTTCAAGAACTGGAGATCCTAAGAAACCAATGTTTTTTTGGGAAGTTATAGACACAAGCCGAGTTTGCAGACTAGCTTGGCCTCATTGTTAAAAGCCTTAAAAGATGTGGAGATTGTCATGTATTGCACAAAGACGTTGACAAACCGTATTGTGCACTATAGTGGTTTACAGTAATTAAATGTAAATAAAAGATAAAAAACAAAACCTTAAGAAATAAAAAAGATGCAGAGGAAAAGTAAGAAGTAAGGAGCAGAGTAACTGTCTCATCTCCCTCTGTCCTGATATCTTGGGATACCAAGAAGTACACCTGAGAAGAAAAACAAAAACTAAAACTAAACAAAATAAAAATCTAACTCCTGGCCCCACCTATTTTAAAATCCTGAGCTTCATCTTAGAACTAAGTAGGTGTTCTTGGAAAATCTCATCGCCTGAATGTACTCTTCCCATGCTCAAATATGAAGCCCAAGGAATGCCCAAAGACACATGTAGATAGAGAAGACTGAACACCATAGATTTGTCATACCCACCAACAGGAATCAGGAGAACAAGCAGATAGGATTTTCTTCCTCCAGGTCAGCGAGGGGACAACGACCTTGACTCTCTTCAACTTGCCTCCTCTCTCACTCCATCTAACACACTTGTTCAGCACTCAAAGCCTAAATATATGGAACCACTAGCTTAAAGAATATCAAATATAAAACTTTGCCATATAGTATTTCAAATCACTCTATTTACAAGTTTATCTTTAAAAAAAAAAAAGAGATACAGTAATTCAACACAATTCAAGTTTTTCTTTTCTTCTTTAAAGTTCCTTAATGAGGAATTCCAGAAGTGGGAAGCACTCTCTGGAGCAATGCCGCCATATCAGGGGCTCCTAGGGAGCTTACCAGTTCATCAGTTTGTAGTTCCTCTGTCCAGAGTCACTCTTGTAAGGACATTTCCATGTAGAAGATATTGGAGACTGTTCTTTGGAGGCCAAGTCGATTTAAAATGTCCAGGTGGAACTCATTCATCCAAGGTAATTTGTACAACACCCAGCTTCCTCTGATCAGAAAGTCTCATTCTCAGCAGGTACCTACCCCACTCTTCATGCCCCCAACCTTTGGAGCCTTCCTGAATCACAATGGCCTATGATATTAATCTCATACCTTAAAAGCCCAAGAAACAGTTCCCTTTTTCTGAGTGGCAGTGAACATAGATAGTCTTTTAAACTATAGATCATAGGGTTAGCCCAGAGATCACTCCTGAAAACCACAGGGCCCCAGCTCAGCAGCATAAAGCACTGCAAGGATGCTGGTCAGCATTGGGCTAGAGGTGGGCAAAAGCAAGGGCAAGGACAAGTGAATGGGAGCACATGAGGGAACTGGTTAAAGGGACGGTTTCACCCACTGGGAGGCAGCATCTTAACCTCTAGAAAGCAAACACTAGTTACATGGAAGAGCAAAAAAAATTAAGCCTATTATGTAATCTAATCTCAAGAGTTTACTGGAGTTTGCTCTCTACATGTCTCGATGTTGCCAAAATTCATATGGAAGGGAATGGTTCCCAGTTGCTGTCCTGTCCACCCTAAGAAGACCCCTTTTAGTCCTTGATCCTCTACTTTAGGTTCTTGGAAATTCATTCCAAAAACTTCTAAAAAGAGAGAAAAAAAACTGTGTCATGCAGAGTTTGGTTCCTTTTCTTTTTTTTTTGGTTTTGTTTTAGAGTAGGTTGGGTTGCTGTGGTTACTAGGTGATGGCAGTCCTCAGTGACAGAGAAGTTTCTAGCTTGGAAGGGTGAATGTGGGGTGTGCGTTCCCTTGCATGACAGGACTGGACTGAAGTTTGCTGATGATGGGCCAATGGCTGCTTTAGAGATGGTGAAAGATTGGATCTTCTATAAACAGTGCTGAACCCCACTCCATCCTGCCTGCACACACAGCCCCAGCTGCCTGTAGCACTGTGGGTCTCGATTATGTAGAAGCGGGGTAGAGAAAGCATCTACTGTAAACAACAGCAACAGGCCCAGCCTGGATCTTGGCACCAGTTTCTTGGCCCAGCCCCATCAGCCTTGGCTATGCTGCATGTTTTGGGGGACTACTTCTATCTTACTTCCTCTTTCAGAAGGTTTTGGGTTTAGATGACTACTGAAACAAAATGAGGGCTCTCTATGTGGGGCACTCATGAGAACTAGGCTTTGCAAGCCCTTTTATCAGTTATTAAAATCAAATGGCCTCCTCTGCTGATTGACTTCTGATTCTTGCAGTGTCGGCTGAGATGATCGTGGAGATGGGTGACATCAGAGTTCACAGAAACATTCGTGTCAACAGGTAGCAACAGCCAGTCACCCTGTTTCTCTCAGTGGCAAAGAGAAATGGCCTAGGACATGGGAAACAGCAGTTGTCATGGATACCATGTAACACTCAGCGATCCTGCTGGAGCCCATGGTTAGAGGAACTCCACGTAGTTCTCGGGGATGAGGCCAGTCTTTCCATTCAGAGTCCCCTCCAACCAGCCAGGCTCCTGAGATGGATGAACTGCACAGGAAGAGGAGAGACAGTGAGAAGAGATGATGTTACAGATAGGGCAGGAGGTGGTTGTACGTGGGGTGTGGGCATGTGTGTGAAGGAAGTCTGGAGAATGAGTACAATCATTTGTTAAGTTATATAATTCTAGGACTTCTTTAAACCACAGCTTCTTAACCTTTTGTGGGACCTAAGCTTTCTGATGAAAGGCATTCTGAACCTTTTCTATAGCAAAAAGGAAAATAAAACACAGACATTTGAAATTTTGCATACAATTTTAGGGGTTTCATGGATTTTCTGAAGTTCATGGATTTATTATCAATAAAGAAGTGAGAAATTCCTACTTTTTTAAGATTGGAGGTCAATAGTTGTGGTGTTCTATCCCAACCATCCATCCATCATCCATCCATCATCCATCCAAACAAGTGTTTGCCTCCTCAGTATCAACTATGTACCAAGTGCAGAGTCCACACGGCCTGCTAAAATCTAGTCTTTAAAGATATCTAGCTTCAAATCATTCTCTTTCCTTTCCTTCACATCCTTACCCTCTGCTTCTAATTTTCTCGCTAATTTCCTCTACGTCTTTTTAAAATTCCATTTTATAGCCTCTGCATAGCCTCCTCTGTGCTCCACCCACACCCTTTCTTAATTTTCTTTCCTATGCTCTAGAACTTTCTCCTCTCCTCTATATGGTTGAAAACTATTTTCTTCCTCTTTCTGCTGCAACTCAAAATTCTGCCCCTTTAATTTTACAATATCAAAAAATATATCCATCGCTGTGACACCACATCTATCTCCATGGAAACCGCTATGAAATTATAAAGATTATAGAAAGTCCAGCTGAGTCTGCAAAGTAGTCAATAGCCTGAAGGAAGGAAGGAAGAGAGAAAGAATCATGGGACGAAGAGGTAGGGGGTGTTCAGGCTTGCGTCTGGAGATACACAGATCACTCTGGGGCCAGGCAGAACACTGATCATTCCTGTGTGAGGAGAACTCCAATTTTCCAGGATTCTTTGGAAAGAATGAATGTTTCACTATTTCCTTCCTGGGCTAATTAAGTGACTTCCTGAGCTTGTTTTAGCAAAGCATTTCCGTTGTCAAACTATTATACAATTCTAGTTTCAGTTTGTAGTGAAATAAGCAAGATTAGGAACCAGAGGAAGCAAACAGGGAGGCAGCAAAAGGACAGGCACTGAGGTTTCTAGAAAAATCAATGTCCAACTTATCTAGACCTCGAACGCATCCTTAGGAAAAGACAAAAGTCAAACATCTATCAGCTGACCTCCCGAATATACTTTCACAATTTCTTCACACTAGGTTTCAGGAGAAAAAGGGGCAAAGATACATTGGATTCAGGACGATCCATGTAAGAAAGAGGAAACAGTCTGGAGAAAAGTGCCATGGAAGAACACACATCCTTTAAAAGCAACCTGACTTCTCCACTTACTAAAGCTCACCAGGCTGCCCCTAAATAATACCCAGAGACCCCCCAGCCCGCCTACCTCTGCCTATCCATCCAGTCACAACTGCCAAGATCACTTGTGCTTACAAAGTGGTGACCTCAAAATTCCTTTCCCTTCCGAGGTTCTTATGAGGAGTAAAGAGGCCAACATGATTGAAGCACTCCACCCAGAGCCAGGCACACAGAAAATGCTCAGTCTGCAGGGGACCCCTGTGTTATCTGATGTCACTTGATCTGGTCAACAAGATTTCCTCCTGGTAGAACCTGGGCAAAGGTCTGGTCTCAACATAAACCTAAGCTTCAGGAAACCTTGCATGTTTAGAACAAAAATGAGCAAATCAAAACTAACCTCTCATTATCTAATTATTACAGAATCTTTTCTTTCTTTTTTTTTTTTTTCTTTTTTTGAGAGGATTTGGCTATAAGGAGTGTGCGCTCGCCGGAAAGACACAGAAAGACAGAAAGTGAGAAATCACTCCCCAGGGGGAAGGTCACACCGCAATCCCTTCTCCATTCTCCTCTTGAGATCTCGGGCATGCACGCACACGCGTCCGATGTGAGTTTAAGTCACCGGGTCTGGGACTTGAACTGCTGTCAACTACATGGGAGTTCAGCGACATGGCCATTATACTAACTGCTAGTCCTATTACAGAATCTTTTCTACCTGCTCCATGCAGTATTCATGGATCCTATTAATAATGCTGTTAAAATGTGTTAAGCTTTGTTTTCCAGTCTAGTTTTTAGTGCATTTTAGCTTCATTATAACATTCTCTGGCTCAACCATCTTCATCGACTCCTCTCTGCCTCATGAATTATCAAGCTAACCTTTAGAAATGCTGACTCTGAAGCTATCATGTGCTCCGAGCTTTAGATTTATTGATTCACTTGCTCCTTGTGATCCTGGCTTGTTCTATTATGGTCCCTATTTTACAGATGAGAAAACTAAGGCTCAGAGAAAGTAATTCATGCATGGTCATAATGGTAAAAGAAAGAATCTGAAGCCAGCTTGTTGGATCTAGAGATGGAGCTTTCCCCCCACTATATCATGCCTTTATTAAACCAAAGAATGTGATCCCTGAGGACTAGACAATACATGTGCTGAGCACATGCTCAGCGGCAGATCCTTTGTGAATAAGTGCTTCACCTGATCACTTCTTTTCTTCTTCAGAGTGACTTCGGAGTGGGCCTGCTATGATCCTCATTTTACTGATGAAAAACTGAGGCTCAGAGAGATTATACACCCTGCTCAAAATTACACAGCTGGTAGGTAATCAGAGGAAGACCAGAACCCAGGACATCTGACCCCAGAGTCTATGTTCTTGACTCCTGCTGCTTTTACTAGCCCAATGCTCTGAACATTGAAGATGCTCAGGAAGTGCTTGTTGAGCTGAATTGCACCAATGTCCAACACTCTGAATTGCCCCAGTGTCCAGTGTGCTATACAAACACACAAGGTGTTGCAGCGAGCTGCCCGGGCAGCTCTCCAGGTCAGTAAGCACATAATACATATAAGCTGCTGCTGACATGGGTGCCCTTCCTGCCAACCACATTCCCTCAGCTATATCCCTGTATACACCAGGCACCACCACACACTCACACTCTCCCCTCCTCCACTCACTGTGGACAAGGACAAGTGTGTGACGAAAAATCTCTAAGGACTGGCTGCCCCAAGGGGAATAAGTTTTCACTGGTAAGGGCACAGACCACTGTGTAGTTAAAGTGCATTTACTAATTTAACAAATATTTATCGAGCACCTACCATGAGCCACGCACTGTGCTAGGTTCTTGCACTTGGTTTAGAGCAAACAGAGAAAATTCTGCTCTCCTGGAGGGATAGCCAATAAATAAGAACACAATTTCAGGTAGTGATGAGGAGAGAGACTGGAATAAGGATGTGGATGGGTGAGGAGGAGATCAAAAGGCTTAAACCTAAGTGAGCCAAAGAAGCTAGCCAGGTCGTTGGTAAACAGGTGCAAAGGCCCTAAGGTGAGGAAAAGGTTGGTGTGATCATAGAACACTGCTCTGCAAACTTGTCTTAAAGGGCCAGATAGTAAATACATCTCAGATCTGCCCCTGTAATGCCACAGAAAATATATACATGAAAAAGTATAGGTGGCTGTGTTCCAATAAAGCTTTATTTACAAAAACAGGTGGCAGGCTGGATTTGACGAGCAGGTAATAGTTTGTCAACTCTATGAATCTGAGAACACAGAAAAGAAAGCCTGTATGGCCGCAGAATGGCTAGTGAGAGAGGACTGGGCCATGGAGGGCCTTGTAAATACTTCTCAGAGCAATAGAAGGCCACTTCAACAGAGGAATAATGGGATGGGATTTCAATTTTTTCAAAGATCACTTTGGATCTTGTGCAGAGAATGGGTTATGGGGGCAAGGGTGGAAGTGGAAAGACTTGTTATGCAGCTGAGGTGGTGGAAATGCCCAGGTGAGCTGGAGGTGACCCAGGCTTGGGCATGGCAGTGGAGATGGCAAGGGAGGCTGAAAGACTTCCCCTAGAAGATCTCCTGGAAGCCTATCTCCTGGGCAGCTTGGTGGCTCTCTGGTGAGGATGTTTTCCATTGGCAAAGGAACCCTGGGGCGGCCCTGCCTGGCACTGGTGCTGCACCTGGTACCAGGGGAATGAATGGATCCAGCTCATCTCAGATCTTGATAAAAGTATCCCAAGAACCCAATTTTAGTGACTACCAGGTGAATTTTCTAGGTATCACTAATCATGTTGCTTCCAGATGACTAATGTTCCTGAGAACACGAGTTACTTCTCTTTCCAGTTATTGTGTGAGGTGCTCTTGGTGAAGTGGACAGTTTCCTAGTAGACTGGCAAGGGCTGACGCTGGACTTCCTTCCGAGTATTACGCATCCACTCCCCACTGCACAAAGTCCAAGAGCTGCCTAAGCAGCCATGCCAGAGGTGCAGCACAGACTTAAGAGATGACCTGTTATAGAACCAGGCGTTCTCTTCCCTTTTCCTCCTCCATATTCATTCTTCTTAATCCTGAAAACACACACACACACACACACACACACACACACACACACACTCCACAATCTAAACCTGTCATTCACAAACTTTTTTTTCTGAGTGGCCTGATAGTTTATTCTGACAGCTACTGAGTACCCAAGTTACACAGCCCTTACCTAAATATCTCCAGCAGTAAACTAAAAAGAGACAAAACAACAAAACAGACTCCCCACCTCTGCAGAAATGCCTCTTTCCCCTGCCCCCATTGAATGCGTTAATGGGTTTTCCTCTGGTAGTGCCTGATTTCTCCTACAGAGGTGAAGGGGTGGGAGAATAGGGTATATGCAACATTTTCCTTTTGAAATAGGCCCTAATAAAATACTATCAGCCCAATAAATCTAAAAAGTGGATTAACACTTTTGTCAGATCCATCTGCAACAGCAGCTCAGTCAACACTGAGGTAGTTTTGGGGGGAGAAGAGGGTTTAATTTGGCGTTTTGCTCTTCAGGGAATCTGAAAGTTCACTGGCATTGCTGGTTAAAAACAAACTCATGTCACTGAAGTCCACTATGACTCCCAGAGACCACAGAAAGGTCTGGGAGGGCCTCTGCCTCACAAATCAAACCTCTCTCCTGCTCCCATTTATATCAGTAGGACTTAGGGTTATTAGCTAGCAGTAGGGTAGGAGTAGTCACAGAACGCCCTGCCTGGAAAGAAAGGGTTTGATGGTCAATAATCATGGAAGTTTCTTTTCTCTTTTCTTTTTTCTTTTCTTTTCTTTTCTTTTATTTTGTTTTATTTTTTCTTTTCTTTTCTTTTGTTTCTTCTTTCCTTCCTTTCTTTTTTAACTACTTAAGCTATTTTGAAAAGGAGACTTAAAAACAAAAGGTGGCAGGACCATAAAATGGTGCAACTGCTTTGTTAAACAGTTTGGCACTTCTTCAAACAGGTTTTTTTGTTTGTTTGTTTGTTTCTGAGGGAGATATTTTTGTTAGAGGGTACATGCACTCACTGGAAAGATGGAGAGACAGAAAGTGAGAAATCGCCCCCCAGAGGGGATGGCCATGCCTCAATCCGTTCACCTCCATTCTTCTTTTGGAATTTTGGACAAACAAGCACATATGCCCTGTGTGAGTTTTAGGCTGCCAAGTCTGGGACTCGAACCGTGGTCAACTACATGGGAGTCCAGAAATGTAACCATTACGCCATCTGCTGTTCTCCCTCTTCGAACAGTTTAACAAAGAGATGCCCTCTGTCCCAGCAGTCTCACTGATGGGAGGATATCCCCAAGAGAAGTGAAATCATATCCCTACAAACACTTGTGTATGAATGGTCATTGCAGCATCATTCATAACTGAAAAGTAGAAACAACCAAATGTCCACCAACTGCTGGATGTTTAGCTCCGATGTGCTTTGTCCGCATAGTGGGATATTATTCAGCTCTAAGAAGACATGGTGCTCTGATATCTGCTGTGACATGGGTGAACCTTGAAAACACTATGCAAAGTGAAAGTTGCAACATCACTTGATTCCACTTGCAGGGCATGTCTAGAACAGGCACATCTAGAGAGACGGTAAGTAGCAGTGGCTGCCCTGGGTGAACAGAGGAGGATGAGGCGTCAAGGGGGGCATGACTGCTAAAGGCCATGGCTTCTTCTGGGGGTTGATGAAAATATTCCGGAATTAATGGTGATGGCTACACAACTCTGAATATACTAAAAAAACGCTGAGCTGTACATTTTAAACGGGTAAAGTGAATGGTGTGTGGGTCTTTGAAGAAAGATGTTAAAAAAGCAGAAGGCTGCGCTGAACAGAAGGAGTCCTAAAGAAGACACGCAGCACACACATAGTTTCTGACAGTTTAACTGATTCTGCCACTGGAAATGGGTCCTTTGTGTTGTCAGGTTGAGTGGCTGATAGAACACGGTGGTCCCTTGCCCATGTGAGCCATGAATTGTAACTTTGAGAACAGATTTTTAAGCCCTAGATTCACCTGGAAATGCAGGGATCTCTCAAATCTTGCTCATTTATAGGCAAAAAACTCCCTCCCTCCTGGTGCAGGCAGAGCAGGGCAAAGAAGCCCGAGGAGTGCAGCTCCTTTGGTTTGTCTGCCATGGGCGCTGTTGTGTTATGGCTGGGCTGTGACTCTCTGTCTGGGCTTATGTGGGGAACAATCGCTAATGACATGGCTGTGGCAGCCTTCGG